GGGGTGGTCGGGTTTAAGTCTCTACTCGACTTTTTTTCGCGGTCTTGGTTCTCCCGTCGATGGGTGGTTCAGGAGGCAATGCTCGCCCGCGAGGCAATCGTTCACTGCGGATGTTATTCCATTGCTTTGCTAACTATCTCTTTGGCCGCCACGCGTTTCCTCAGTCTCGACGTGGCTTCTTACCCAGTCAATATGGCGGCAAACCTACGCGAGCCTATCACCAAGCGCGGTATCCTAGAACTACTGTGGTACTTCCACGAAGCCGAGTGCCGTGATCCTAAAGATCGTATTGCCGCCCTTCTTGGCCTCGTACCGAACCAACAGAGATTTCCTCTCGACTACACTGCCCACTGGACGGAACTGTACAGGCAGGTTGCCTCACTGGCCTTCGGTCTTAACGATAGGGCAATCAACTTCCAATTACTAATTCATTTGTTCGAGTTCGGCCCCGTGTCCTGTCCAGGAGATGCCTTCTATCCGTCGTGGGTCCCTGACTGGTCAAAGTCTCGGAAACGGACCCTACCTTTCTTTTCTGACATACGAAACCCGGACACCCACGAGCGGTATCCGATCTCACCCAAATGGCGGGAATATTCGATTTTCACCGTTAACAGCGGCGTCCCACGGGTCCATTGGCATCCCACGATCGACGGGCAATGTGGTTACCGAGTCACCTACGTAAAGAAATATCTTTCGTTTCTACTCGACGACAATTGCAGAGCTGGGCGTGTAATGGAAGTATTGGATGAGCTCTTTCACGCCACTCCGGACTTTACACGGCATATTTTCGCGCTTTCTTCTTTGCTAGCAAAGGTCAAAGAGTTCCGCCACTCCAGTCGGGACCGAGAAATCAATGATGCATCTTTCAACAATTACTTAACCAAGATCAACCCTCTATTCCCAGAATCGACAGGCGCAGGTTTTCTTCGCTCCCTCCAGTACTTGGATTCTCTTTTGCAAGAATTCTGCCTGTTCCAGCTGGAGCCACCTGAGCCACGCGCGAAAATCGATTCATGCCGTGTGTATGGCATTGGCCCCAAGACTACGGAGATTGGCGACGTCATGATACCACTGTGGGAGCCAGAATGGGAACGTGGTGCGCAAAGGACTTGTTCGAGGGGGAAGGAATGGGACTTCCGCTTTTCCACGATGCTCGCCGTGAAGTATGTTGGAGAACCACTCCTTCAGCATGAGAGCAATGTGTGGCACGAAAAGATGCCGGTCCATAAAGGCAAAGTGATTGGTTCAGCAATTTGTGTCATCTCAGAAGGCAAACGGAACTGCACACATGATAAGAGAAAGAAGTTTCCTTTGGGGATGGATCAGTGGCATTCAATGCGCTTAATATAGATTCTGTGGCAGGTGGTATAGCTTCTCGGAACTCTCACGTCCTAAATCTCAACGTTAAGTTCTAAACTCAGATGGACCTCCGACGGGACAGTTGTGGACGACGTCATGACGTGCTTGGCGCCTGTGGCAGACTTGGTGCTGTCGTCTTGGACAGGAGGGTTCTATCCTCCATTAGAGAGCGCTCGGCTCCAATGGCTTGAATGGCATCGGCAACTTTTACGACGGATGCTCCTTTGTCCCTGTCGCTACTAACCTTGGGGAAGTCGCCATCACAATCGGCGTCAAAGCCGTCGAAGTCGTCATCAGTCGCAGCAGAGTCGTAGTCTTCGAAAGAGACCGCACTATCTGGGTTGCCGCAGCCGCCGGCGGGCAGGCGTCACGTATTGAACTCCTGGCACTCGGTGTGCCGAAATCTCGGCAAAAATCGAAGAAAGATGGACCCACAGGCCCGCGACTCCATCCAGTCCGTGCCGAAAGCTCCGTGCGCCACCGGCCACTCGGTGAAAGCGGGACGTGCCGTTGCCCCCGCTCCGGGTGGAGACACTAGACCGCTCTGCAGCCAAAGTTTGCCGAGCTGCAGACAGCACCTTTGAGGCAGATAGCAGGCTTTACTGTTTTGCGACAGTTACAGAAGTGCCCATGGATCCTTTCGCAGTGTGGGCTAGGCGACAAGGATGGACAAAACACGGCATCTGTGAAGGTCGTGGGAGGCACGTTCTTAAATCCCCTGATAAGGACGAGCCAGCGAGGAGATCAAAATCCGTGACCTGGCTCTCTACTTCCGGCAGCCTGCTCCTCAGATCTAGGTTGAATAGCAATGCCCTTTTTGTTAAGCATCGCCTTTCCTGCCGCGTCCATGTGTGGCGAGATGGAAAGCCTCGGTAAAGGCCAATCGGAAATACCCAACCCACTGCCACTTGCAGTAGCATCGGCAGAGCAGCGCACGAGTTGGAGGTTTGACCGCCGAAGGTGCAGTTGTCACTTCGGTTGAAATGCGGCGGTGGTGAGTTCCCATACCCTTCAGGCTACCAGTCAGTTTGGAACTCTTACTGTGGACCCATTGGGTGCTGGATAAGGTACCGTGACTGGGAACCAGGAGAAAGACCATTGCGGAGACAGCAAGTTGATGTTGCCGGGCAGGTCGAAGCACGAAGAATTCGACGGTTCCATTAGGCGCGATAGAAAGCTGCCACTGACTTGACCGGGATCCTACACTCAGAACTTACTGCCAGCCTCAGAGATGCAGGCACCAACTGCCAATTTGAGAGCCAGAATCAGCAGGTGGTCACTGTAAAGAATGTAAGTCGGCACCCTCCACTCCGTCCGTTTGTCCTGAAAGCACCCGCGCCAATAGCTCACACGTCAAAAACAGGCTGAAGCTGTGTAGTTAAAGTCGGACTTGCACACGAGACCATTGGTGGGCAGAACGAGGTCCCAATTCTCGCTCACGAGTCGTTGGGCAGGAACGACTTTGAGATGCAATGAGCAGGATACATACGCGAGAGCATTGGGGCCAGTAATCTGTATTTGCACAGCTACCTCCCTTCTCGGACGCAAAGGGAACGGTCTGTAGCATACCAAGGGCTGAGCGCCGATTTCAGCGCTGGAATTGGCAGCTGGTGGCTGACGGGCATGCGTACCTAAGGTATCCACAGTGGCCCGCAGGGGAAGTGGCGACGGTTTTCTCACCGTCTCCCTTGAAGCAGTGACACCAACCAAACTGGCCCAACTGCACAGACTACAGTAGTGGTCGCAATTACTGTGGCCCGACCGTGCAACATTGAGCGACAGGAAAGTGGTGTTGGCCGTTTCGTCACCACCTCCCCTGAAGGGCAATGTGCACCCCGAGCCCAGCCAAGCGCAGTCACGCCGTGTCTTTCCTGTTGGCCCCGCGGTGGACAGAGATTGGCCGTCAACCATGACCGTCGCTAACAGAGAGGTTTTTCCCATGTGTGAATGGATGCTCTGCCTTCTTCAACACGGCCTCTGCTGCGTCGCATGCCGAGTTAAGCCTGAGATCATCGTCAAGACCATCACTCGGGGTTCAGAGATGCACGTCTCCAAAATCAGAGCGGCGACTGGCAAGATGCTCCGGATGCTCCGGAGTTGGCCCGGAGAGAGTACCGAGGACGTGGATTGCCCTGAGCTCCATCCTGGATAAGAGCTCCGATAAGAGTTCCGACTCAAAAAGGGGTCTAACAAGAGCTCGGATTGGCTCAGGTTAGGATTACGAATCTCACGATCCTGGAGTTTGCTCAGGATTATCAGAGGCGACACCTTCACCGCGACACCTGATCTGTTGACAAAGTGGAGCTTCTGGCAGATGAGAGCACTTTGATTGGTCCATGGGCTGATAGCTGGGGAGTGACTGTGCGGGAGCCAATCAGAGATAGGATTCGTCTGTGGGGTCTCCTGCGTCTTCAGCAGCATGGAGACGGCCGATACCTCTGTCATCTCCAATGTAGCTGCTGAACACTGGTCTAGGAATTCACTGGACGAAAAAGACGAAAAAGAAAAAGGAGAGAAAAATGACGAAAGTTACACTCTGATCCTCAGCTGCAGTCGTGACAATCTCGTCAGATGGCTCTCGACATAGTCGTCCTCAATCAGCGGAGGGTTGGTCTTCTGATGATTTTCCGGTCAAAACAGGGCCTTGTGTTCGGTGCCCAGGCTTACGTAAGATGTTATGGACCGTGGCGCTGCAAGCATCACACCAGCCACGCCAAGAAGGTGAGAGGTGGCTGGATATGTCACGCGGCTGCGGTGCTCGTGGCACGGCCCACCTATTTCGGGAAGTAGATCCACTGAAGCTGGATCCATCAGCCAATCAGCCACTTGACCCCAGTGGGTCCACCCCTAACTCCTCATTCCTCAGGCAATCTCTGTGCTTCCAGCTTTCTCCCCTCTTCAATCCGCTCCGAATGCCTCCTTTCACCGATCATCATCGGCATCCTCTTCAACGTGGTGGACTCCGCTCCCTTCAACCAGCATTTCTCCCGCGCTTCTATCGGACAGCCCTCTGTGGTCAGGATTCCGACCGTTCACCTGCTGGCGCGACTCATTGTGCGAGTAGGGCTGGGTTTCCGCTAGAACCATTCCAGACCGTCGTCTTCGCACCTTCGCGCCTGGATTCGTGACTAGTCGCCCGGCCATTCTACTGTTCGCACAATAGTTGCCCATGCACTCTGAGCTGGGTTGGAGTCCCGCCGGACGCGTCTTGTCGAGTAGGAGCGCGCGAAGGGGCATGCTGCAGAACGGAGTAACGGACAACACCACAACGGTGAGTATTGAACCCCCCCTGTCGCTATTGACCACGTTACTCTAGCATGTCGATCGAAGGCAGTCATGACAAGTCGTCTGGGCAAGACTTCAAATTCGATGCCGCCGATGTTATTGTGGTGCTTGAAGAGGAGGGACGACCGCCCGAGGTGATCGAACAACATTTTCAATTGCGCGCCCGATGTTCCCCGCACGCCTCCGTATTCTTTCGCCTCTTCCCAGTCGTCGACAACGCGTCAACTATGACCACCGCCTGCGTACAAATAAAAGCCGGAGACATCAAGTCGTTGGAGAAGGAAGTTTATGGGAAGGTCAACGCCGCCAATCCAGGCCCGGCTCATGTTGAAGTTGTCCGCGGACTGCTGGGTGGCATGCATTCGGTAGCCTGTCTTCGATTCAAGCTGCGCAGCCACGGGACGATCGACCTGATCCAACCAGTGGAATCAGATATCGACAACGGACCTGGTCATCAGGTCTTAGATACGTGCGCATCGCTCAGGTCTCTCGCGGCGGCCTCGCTGTTTTCCCTGTATTTTCGACACGACATCTTGCGTCGGAAGACTTTTAATAAATATGTGTGGGCTGTTGGACAATTTTCACTCTTGACGGAACCCGAGAGGCAACCGTATCAGTGCATGGTGGATGCGCGCAGACTGTATCATGGCGCTGGCGACAAAGTGCACGTACCTCACGGCCATCATGATCCTTCGCCCACGAGGGATCGCTGCAGTCCTCCTGCTCCGGGAACGCCTGCCTCGTGCGGTAGTGGTAGCACGCTTCCCTTCGATGAGGTGCCGCCTTGCCGAGGCCGCCTAGGCTCACCACCGCCGTATGCCGAATGCGTGACCGAAGGACAGTCACCGAAAGCCGGATCAGACGCCGCATCCATCCTCGCCACATCTCCCGCAGCCGACTGCGACCTGCCAGAGTATGGTGATACCAAACGAAGGGATGCTTCACTGGGTCCCCATCTGGCCGTTCCCCCTTGCGGAAACCAAGCCATCCGTCCAACGAGTAAAAGGAAATGGTCCATACGTGCCACAGCGTCATCCGCAACCGACGCCCACCGACCCGAGAAATTACAGCGATCCTTGTTTGTCGATCTAGATGACAAGAGCCAGGTCGCAATTTTGCATGACCTGCAACAACAAATCAGGCAGCGAGACCAACAGAACGAAGAACTTCAAAGGACTGTCGACCAGTTACGGACAACCGTCGGAGAACTACAGAAGAGAGTCGAGGTAATGCAGACGTGGAAGAAAAAACAAGAGGAACTGGTTGGTGATCTGGAAGGAACCTGTTCTCAATTGGCAGAGCGCCAAGACGACTTTGACGATGCCGTTGACTGTTTGTCTGGCGATGTAGACGAGCTTGCCGGGAAACATGACGAGCTCGGGAAACAGATGCTAGATGTCAGTGATGAGTTCCAGGACTTGATGGATGGTATGGTTTGGAAGGCCCAAGAAGAACTCCGCAAAACCATTGAAGACGGTATGGCGAAACAGATACAAGAGATTGTTGAGGCTCAAGTAAATGAAGTCAGAAGGAGGATTTCCAAAGCTCTCCAGCCGACATGACTCGGGAAGAGTTCGCAATAAAGCAAAATACAACCCGCTGCATGTGGAACAACATGGGATTACAAGACATTTACGGATACTACAAGAGGTATGCGGCGAGACAAGATGTACCTGACTACAATTTGGGAAGCTGGTTAAGAGACCACAGCCCAGTCTCATCTGTGTACTGCTCCCCACCGACAAATCCCCCAGAAACAGGTCCTCTCCCGGCCTGCCAAAACGGAATGGTGACAAAAATGTCCTTACTCGTAATGTTGGCCACAAAAACACCAGCATCCCCCAAATCCCACCGCATGATCATCCCAGCCGGCGCCGGCGTCCCAGGCACAAGCGGCCAAATCTGTCCCTCAACCTATCCTAGCGTGTTATTCGCGCGGTCGACACATCGGGAAGCAATCACATGACCGTCCTCATAGGTTGCGAGATACTCAGAGCTGATCTCTGTGCCGTCCTGTGCGTGCGAGTGCCACTAGATGACGGCGTAGGGTCCTAGGCGTGCGTGGCCCCCCAGAAGGCGGCCTGTATTGCTTCCTAGAAGGGGCGATCGACCTAATATACTAGTAATAATAAATAATATAATTATTCATTAAAACTACTACCTAAAAAAGAGTAGGTCTATAAAGACTAAGAGTAAGATTTATTAAAATCTTACTAAGTATTATTTATTAAACTTTCTATATTTAGAATATTAGTATTATAGATATATTTAAAGATAATAGTAAAGTATTTTTCTTAGCTAAGTTTCTAGTTTATAGAATACTTAGTTAAATTAATAAATATTTAATCTAAGTTTAAATAATTTTAAACTATTAATAGTAACTTATTTAGTTTAGATTAATTAATAATAATATTATTAACTACTAACTTATATAAATATTTAGGGAGATATTATAATTTAGATAATATTAGTATTAGCTTATTTTAACTTAATTAAATTATTAAATTTATAACTTTTATTTTAATAATAACGTATAATAACTTAATAGTTAGTATACTTTATTAAAAAGGTTAAATAAAATATTTTTAATATTCTTTTATTAAAAAATATAAATAACTTTTAACTTTATTTATAATTATACTTTAAAACTAAATAAAGTTATAGATTTATTTATAATTCTTATTAACTTCTTATTTATAATATATAAAGAATATTAATATATAGTTATTATAAATAAAGTTATTTTATATCTAAAAATATAGTATTTACTTTTAAAACTAATAGAGAGGAATAATATTAGCAGTTTAGTTAACCTATATAAGTAAGTATTATAGTTCACTCTATACTTTTTTTTTATAGTATTAAAACTTAATAGCAGCACTTTAACTTATACTTAATCTTAATAAAGTAAATAAATAAATCTTAATATAGCTAGTTATTAATACTTAGCTTAATATATCTTTAGCTATATAGAAGAGTATAAGTAGGTAAGCAGTAGAGCAGTAAAATATATTAATAAGAGCGTTATTTATAATACTATTATTAGAACGCTAATAATACTTATAGCTAAAGCTTAGTAATAACTTAAACTTATACTTAAAGGTATAAACTTAATAGTATAACTCTTTATATAGCTAAAAAGGTTCTTATAGCTATAATATAAAAACTTAACTATTTAAATAAAGCCTTAAGCTTATTTTTTATACCTATATAAAAGTAGCACTAATATCACTTAAGGTATAAAAGGTTAGGTTTCAAGAAAAATAATAAATAATAAATACTTAAAACTTAAATTTTAATATAAAGTATCCTTTTCCTAAAATTAATTATTTAATATTTTATAACTATAATATAATAAAGTATTTTAATAAATATATATTATTTCTCTTTATAGATAAATTAAAATAACTCTAATTCTAATAAAGTTTAAAATTAAAAAAATATAATTAACTTATTATTTAAATATTAAAAGTAAATAAAATAATATACTTTATACTTAAGCTTTATCTTTTAATTACTAAAAGTAATTAAAATAATATACTTTATACTTAAGCTTTATTTTTTAATTATTAAAAGTAATTAAAATAATATACTTTATACTTAAGCTTTATTTTTTAATTACTAAAAGTAATTAAAATAATATACTTTATACTTAAGCTTTATTTTTTAATTACTAAAAGTAATTAAAATAATATACTTTATACTTAAGCTTTATTTTTTAATTATTAAAAGTAATTAAAATAATATACTTTATACTTAAGTTTTATTTTTTAATTACTTTTTTTCTTATTTTTATTTTTCTTATTTAACCTCTATAATATCTTTCTCTTTAATACCTCTTATAAATACTAGTAATAATAAGTTTAATACTTCTTTTTTTTTCTTTTTCTTCTTATATCTATTATAAAGCTTATATTACTTTTAAGTTCTTCTTAATTCTAACCTTATTTATAATACTTTCTTTTACTATTTTATAAAAATTCTATAAAAATAGTAATCTTTCTACTAAAATATAATAAACTAACTTTATCTTTTTCTTCTTTTAAAACTTAAAAGTTTTATAGTTCTTTCTACTTTTTAATTATTTATATTATAACTTAATATTCTTAAGTAAAAATACTAAAATACTTAAACTAAGAACTTTAATAAGAATTCTAAGTGTAGTAAACCTATAAATTAAGTTTATAAACTTCTTTTCCTCTCTTAAGCTAAGCTTTTTTATAAAATAAGTAGCTAAATAGCTATTTATTCCTTTCTTTTATTAAGTATTAAAGTTTTCTTTTTTTAAGAAGTTTTATAGCTTAAGTAATTTAGGCTTTTTTTCTTAGAAAATACTTCTTAATTTTATCTATCTCTTTTATAGCTTATATTACTATATATAGATTTATATCTATATAATAGTAGTTTTTATTTTTACTAATTTATTAATAATACTTTTCTATTACTTTATAAAAAAAGCTAGTTATAAATATTAAGCTCTATTAAGTTTCTATATTAATTCTTTAGCTTTCTATATTATATTACTTAATAAGGATATAGCTTTAATATTATATTTAGTTAATAAGTAATATAATTAATCTTTAGAAGTAGCTTTAAATATTTAATAGAATATAAGCTTTTTAATATAATAATAGTTATCCTCTATAACCTTAATTTTATATCTCTATTTTAGCTCCTTTATAATATCTTAGAATATAGCTTAAGATTAAGATAATCTTTTTAACTTATCTTTCTCTTCTACTTAAATCTTAAGAGCTTTAAGTATCTTTAAAGTTTATAAAGTTAGCTATAATTACTTAAGTAGTTTCCTCTATAGTAATAATTAGTTCTTAATTTCTCCCTCTTCTCTTATCTTATTTATTTTATTATTAGATATTTTATTTTTTTTAGAACCTTATTAAGCTTAATATCTATATTATTTAAGTATATATTATTATATTACTCTCTAGAGTTTATAAATATATTTATTATAGATAAATTATTAATAAAGTTAGCTATATTATTATATTATTAAAGTTTTAAGCTATTCTTTTAGTACTTTTTAATAATTCTTTAAACTTAGTTTTCTAATTACTATATATAAGAAAACTAAAGAAGATTTAACTAAAAAACTACTTATAAATAATATTCTAACTATACTTTAAACTCTCTAAGAATATTACTAACTTTATAATATAAACTATATACTTATTTATCTTTATTTAGTAGTTTAGGTTATATTTAAATATAATAATAAATTAGTAAAAATACTTACTCTTATATATAGCTTTTAATAATATAGCTTTTATCTATAGAGGTAGCTTAACTATTATTATAGTTTTATACTCCTCGCTTAGTAATATTAATTATAAGTTCTTTAATAACTAAGCTTTCTTAAAGTGTTACTAGCTATTAAATATAATATTATTAAAATAAATAGCTTTCTATTTTAGTACTATCTCTAATAGATTATAAATATAGGCTAAATTATAAAAAAATAGACTAAAGTATTAAAAAATAGAGCAAAAAGTTAAAATAGTAGCTATACTACTTTATATAATATACTTCTAACTTTTAAATTACTTAATATACTTAAGGATATATATTTCTATTATTAATATATATTTTTAGCTCTATTAATATACTAATCTATATAGAAATTTAGGCTTATTTAAGATTTATAAATAGTAAAACCCCCTCTATATATAATTTTATAAATCTTAAATAATAAATATCTTAGATATATTAGTTAAAATAAATAACTTTAATAATTATTAAACTTTAATAATTATTAAACTTTAATAATTATTAAACTTAAATAAATATATAAGATACTAACTATTTATAACTTATAATAAGATATAATATAACACTTTTACACCTCTCTTTTTATAAATTAGTAGTAATATAATATTTTATATTAAGATAAGAGCTAAATAATTATCTAATAAAAGGATAAAATAATAAATAAGAGGTGATATAAATAAGTATAGCTTAAAGCTAAGGCTAAGGTATAAATATAAAAGGGGATTATAAAGGCATCTTTATTTATAAATTAATAAATAAAAGCTAGATATAATAAGTAGAAGCTCTTTATAATAATCTTTAGCTATATATAGAACGCTATAAGAGATAAGACATAGAAATATATATTTAAAAATAATAAAGTATTATTTAAAAGTATAAATATAAATATAAATTAATATATAAACTTTTAGCTTTATTATAAAGTAATTAAAGAGATTACTAAGTTAGCTTATTTACTTTAATATTATTATCTTAATATTTATTTAATATATATACCTCTTAAAATAGCTTCTTTTATACTTTATACTAATATTAATAATAATACTATAATTAATTAGATAAAGATACTTTTATAAAGTTTTAATAAAGAAATAGCTTAATATAGTGATAACTTATTTAAAAGTAGTAGAAATAATATAAATAATAAAGCTAATAATAGTAATAAGATCTACTTTAACTTTAAGTATATTAACTTTAACCTATTTACTGAGGATTATAAGATAGATAGTAATATAAATAGTAAGAATAAACTTTCTATTATAATACCTTTAGTTAC